AGGTGTTTTATTTGCAAATTTGCATTTATGAATATAAAATTTAGCAAAGAGTATTAGTAAGTTTATTATAAAGAAAACCACAGTGGGTTTAGTTACACTTCAAATCAAAACACTCACTTCCTCTTTGTAAAAAGGAAGATTTTAAACACAGCCTATAAGGTACTGAATGGTGTTACGTCTGAGTACATCCCAGTTAAAACCATTTAAACCATTAAAAATCCATCAAGTCATGGAACAAAAAGCAGAAACAAAACAAGGCCAACCTGCTAGCTTATCCTCTGAACTCCCTGAAAACCTGAAAAGAGTAGAAGCCTTTTGCTTGATTAAACATTTCCTATTAATTTGTTTCACATCTCACTTCACTGCTCTTACCTGTAGTGCCTGTACGAGTGGTGCTATACAAATAGACTTGCCTTGCCGTTTACCAGCGTTACCTCTCAGTCAAGAAGAAGATGGGCAAACACCTGCAGCTGTTGTCAAGAACTCGGCAGAGCGCAGACAACAAAGGCAGATCTGTAAAGCAACATCGAGCATCAAAGAGTCTGTCAACACCAGCAGCTGAGAGGCTGCAAAGAAGCAAACAGACGCAGATATCAGAGCTGGAGAACAGGGATGGCGCTACAAAAAGCTGTTTACGCTGGTGTCACTTCCAGCTCTGTTAACCAATCAAGAAGACTGCCGTAAAGTCTTTCAGCTCCACTCACCGACATTAGAAACTGCAGCAGCAGCACCTCATGTTTAGTTATTATTTATTTGTCTCGTTCGATCATTCCTGGAAGAAAATACTAGTTTTTTTCAGATATTGTGAGCAGTATAAATGTTTCAGGCAATACCGGCGCATATTTTCTGTTTGAAATTTGACCTGCATGAAAAATATAGACTCCAGCAGCTGTATGAAATAAGATTTTACAGGAGAGAATATAAAAATAAGCACTTTAAAAGTGGTTAACCCTAATTCTTCCAATCCCATCCCTCAGGACTCGTTCGTTTTGTGCTCCATCTGGGCTGCTTGGGCACATAAAAGATTATTCTCTCCGAATTGCCATAAAAAACAAGATGCATGAATATATCTTTACATTGTTTTATGAGTGCAGTTAGCGTCAGTCCTCACTGAGAATATAAAATCACTTCTGAAAAGCTGTATTTAAAAGTAAATTGGATGTTATTTGGACCTGACAAAAGACCAAAGTGGCAGCAAAAGGAACAAGTTGATTTTTTCTGATACTTTTTAAAAGTTTTTAGATCAATATGGGAAGCGCTCTCACTTTTTTTTTTTTTTGGACAATTGTTACAATGCGTAACTTTGGCAACCATGTGTCTATTTTCTTTACAACTGGGAGCAGCTGATTAGCATCTCAAAGGTTCTAATAACAGACAGGTTCACTGCAACACTGACTGCTACTGGACATCCTGCCTGAAGATACTTGATGTGCTTTATGACATTTAAATTTCCTCTGGGATAAAAAATTTATTTTTGAATAGAAAATTTAATGTTAACACATTTTTTGTGACAAAAAAAGTGAAATGCTTATAAAGAAGAAATGCTAACGCTGATAGATATCACGTGGTTAATTTATTACTAATCACCCAGAAGAACGGGGTAGTAAAATAAATCAATGGTTTCAAGCCATAAAAAAATGTCAGAATTACCCCTTTATCCTGCAGCTTTAGAACTGATAACGTTAAGTATAATCCACTAATTAACCTTTCAAATGATCAGGTGTCCAGGTAATCAATTTAATGAGCCAACAGAGATTGACCAAGTTGCTTACTGATTAATAATCCCTTTTCAAGCCTAGATTGGACTGAATTTGGTTTCTCTGATTGGTACTGTGGCCCATTGAAGCACAAAACACAAATATGAACCAAAAAAAGAAAAAAAAGAAAAACATTTAAGCTGATAGAAAAGGTCCAGATAAGATTTATTTTGTGTTGGCAGCCACTGAGGTCCACTGAGATTTCAGTTCCTGTCTCTGTGCTGCTCTCTGGAGAGTCTGTGTGTGAAGATTAAAGTACGTTTCTAAAGATGGAAGAGATGAACGCAATCACAATAGGAAGGTTTAACAAAGACCTTCTGCATGATGCAACACCTGATGTGAATTTCAACATACGATGAGGATGGGGACTCTTACCTCTGAACCATGAAAGGATTCAAAGACAAAGGACAGAACAGACAGACGGTTCTGCTGTTGTCTGGCCTCTTCAGTGTAATGTGTTGTTTTTAGGTTGAGTGTGTTTTTGTCGTGCAACGAGGTTCAAGTACTGAAACTTCATTGCATAGTATTTGGTTTTGTTTTGTTGGTTTGCAAAAATGTTCTTTGTGTTTTGTTTGTTGTCCTTCTACAGAAATGTTTTCAATGGAGGTTACAGCTGCACTAACAAATAACTGAACAGTGTAGGGTGTATAAAACAGAACCAAACAGAAAATAATGCATTTTTAATCCAGTTTTTCTCCATAATTTGTCGGTCAGACTATATAAAATATCTTAGATGGTCTCGATAAGTAATTCTTGGGACTTTCGGAGTGTTTTCTAAAACTTTTTCATTCATTTTCATTCCAGTCCTCACACCCTGTGTTGAAAGCTTGTTGTGGAGTGCAATCCTTAAAACACATGGGTCAAACTCACCATAGCTTTTTATATGGCCCTCTCAATTATTTACAATTATTTAATTTTAAGAATTTATTGATATGTCAACAGTTTGGGAACAGGTTTTATCAATACATTCTGGCACAACCGGCCCCTTAAGAGCATGAATGATCTTGATTTGGCCCAAAGCGAGAATGCGTTTGACACTACTGCCTTAAAACATGGAAAGTAGACAAAAAAAAGTATTAAAAAATGCTAAAAGGTTTGGTGAAACAGAAAGTAACGTCACCTGTAGTGAGTATGTGATGCAAAACTGTTGTGCATAGTGCAGGTATGTTGGGATAAAGAGTGTACATTCTGCAACTGCCTCAAAATAAATCGTTTTGCTGTGAGGTATTGACTTTTTTTAGCTACTGATCACTTTATCATCTAAAACTGAAAGTTTATTAATCTATGCAAAGTCAATGAGTGCCATCTAGTGGTCACATAACAATCAACAGAATTGCTGTAATTTTTGGACTTTATGCCACTACTTTTTTCCCACGTTTTGAACCATGCGGCTTATTGCATTTCCAGTTAAAAAATACATATATTTTTTAATTTTGTAGATGCGGCTTATATTGAGGTGCGCTCTATAGTCCGGAGAATACGGTAATCAGAAAGTAGATTAGATTTATTTCTGCTGCTTTGACAAAGGAAAGCAACGATGCAGGGTTATTTTCTAACAGCATCATGGTTTGTCTATGACTCAAAAGACAAGAAAAAATTGTGATTTTCTTTTTAAACAAACATCTAAAATTGTATTTTCTTTTAGTTTTTTTTTAGCTAAATATCTTAAAAGCTTAAAAATTCCTTTTTGAAAAATCTAACACCTGCAGCATCAAACACAGTAATATTCTTTTTAAGGGACCCTCGACTAACTCCACTGATGATCTCATTTTCAAATATATGTTGTTTATTAGTTTTTAACCCAGAGGACATTTCACTAGACGGCATATAAACAAGACAGGCTGTTATTGCCCTCACACATCACTGTGTACAACAACAACTCTGACGTGATTATTAAAGGAGGGGAAGAACATAAAATGCATCGGGATGATGTTCAAGTCATCCAGCAGCTTTAAATATTTGCAGAGAAAATAAAGCAATACATAAAATGCTCGAAGTTGAAACAGAGAGGAAGAATAATTTTATTCTCTAACTATAATGTGTTTAAACTGACTGACATTAAACATATTTATCATTTACTGTCATGAAATCTGTTTCATTTCTTCTGTCTGTTTTGCATTAAAGCACTAAATGGCACCAGCAGCTTTAGTTTGACAGGTTTATTGCCTGTATTTTCTGTAAACAACTCATTTGTTTGCATGAAATATGTTACATGGCTGTCAGAATGAGATTAAAGTCATTGCTGCTTGTTGATTTGCTGTACCTAGCTATTTGAGTTTAGTCAAATGGAAATTTCTACATATTCTACCAACTGAGTAACTTCACTGAATGAACAAACTTGGATGAAAAAAATCTACATACCTGCAGTTTTTTTTTTTTATGAACGTTTCAGAAGTTTTACATTTAAATAAATTGATCTGGAAAAATATTTCACTTGCTGTTTTACAATTATGTTATTTAATTACCAAAATATCCACATAATTTTATATTTTCGTCCATCTTGAAGATGTAATTTTAAATATTAAGTTGATGTTATGATTAGCTAGTCAGTACTAAGTGGCCTTTTTTCCTCTTACTTGAGTACAGCTACTTTTAACTTTTGTTAGAGTGAAAGTGTGCTGAAGTAGTGACACTTTTACTTGAGTGCAAGTTCTGGGAACTCTTCCCACCTCTGCTGCAGAGGACAGACCTCCTCACAGCGTTTCTCAGGGCGAGTCCAGCCAACCTGCACGATCTCGTTTGGTCGTCATGACCAGAGGTGAGAGTCAGAACGTGGACAGACCAATAAATCAAGCTTTTCTTTTTTCCTCAGCCCTTTCTTCACCTCAACAAACTTCAGGAGCCTTGCTGCACATCAGACTCAATCTGTCCCACCGCCACTCGTAAACAAGACACCAAAGATACTCCAAGTCCCTGGCCTGAGGCAAACACTGACCCCTGACCTCACAGGGCCAGTCCACCGTTGTGGAGGAGTAAGACGTCAAATTGAGAGCCGACTCTCATCCCGGCTGCAAATCTCTCCAGTGTACGCTGAAGGGTCATGGCCTGGAAATGTCAAGCAGAAACAAATCAGCCAGCAGAAACAAAGATGTGACCCTGAGGTTCCCAAACCAGAGACCCTCCACTCAATGGCTGCAGGATCAGATGCTGTCAATGAACGCCTCAAACAGGATCAGTAACGAGGGGCAGAGCCCAACCCGCACTGGAAACAAGCTGGACTCGGAGCAGAAAATGAAGACTCAGCTGCTGCTGACAGGACAGCTCTATAAATTATACTGATATCGTTATACGTTGCTGAAAGTCAGACAAATCTGGTAATCATTTAAGATTGTTCTGATCTACAAAGTTTTGGGGTTTCTTTTCAAAGATTGAGCTAAAGAAAGAACCACAAAAACCAAAGGAAAACTTTTAAATATTTTCAGAAAGTTTGAAACGCCAGACTATTTAGACCAGATTTGTCCAAAGTGCAGCCTGAGGGCCATTTGGCCTTCCAGCACAGATGGTTGATGCTGAATCACGTTTTTAAGAAAGAAGACTTTATTGCTGTATTTACTGTTGAAGGTACGCTATAAAGTTTTCTAGGCAGGGAAAATAAAATTCAGTCAACTTCAAAAGAAATAGCAAATTGGATGCCTGTCCAAAGAAAACCTACTAGTTTTCAGTTTTAGAGATCAGTGATTGCCATTAAAAACTGCAATCAGTGAACCCCTAATTTTTTCCCAACCGCTTCCAATCCATTTATCGAACCATTATATATACATTTATTTCTTTTCTAATTTTCATAAATTATGTAAATAATAATAAAGAAGCGCTAATCTAATGTATAATGTTTTTTGAGAATCATATTCTACCCTTTTCCCATCTGTGGTTCTGATTTCCTGATCAGACCAAATGATTGGCTGTGAAAGCTGCAACAAAACGTGCTAACGGTTTCAGTTCAGACGACGTGGGTGAAAAACGAGGACCACAACCCCGACTGTCTTCCACTCTATCACTTTATTTGTGTCATATAGATCAACACAGCCAAACAATGAGTGTGTTACGCTGTGGAACATGGAGGCTCAGTCACAAAATGTAAACGGTCTTTCTCTAATGGTGCTGTCAGCCCAGTGATTGAAGCTCCCATTGCTTGTGATTATAAGTTCAGCAACATATACAAGTCCAGCCAGAAGCAGGGATATGAACTACATTGCTTTGTAAAACATTCAGTCACAACTTAAAGGAAAACAAGGTAGCACCACATAGAGTACGTATATTCCCTTGACTCACAGGTGTTACTTTCCAGAACTTTCCACTTGTTGTACAAATAAACTTTACTGAAGTTATGGAAAATACCATCCAGGTTATTTAAAGTAACTTCTAGGTTCTGGGTAAGTACCTGACAAAGTTAAGGAAAGTACCAGGTTAGTTCCTGAAAGTAATATTTATGTTTTTTTTTACCACACCTGTTGCATTTCACATTGACGGAAAGTATTGAGTAAGTTCTGGAAAATAAGCTTTGGTTATGAACTCAGGTCACTTTCTAAAAGTTACATGTTACTTTCCAGAGCTTCTGGAATGCATCTGGGACAAGACCCTGCTATAACTTTTATATGACTCAGAAGATACTTTCTAGATATTACCAGGCAAGTCCAAAGAGTATTTATTGAGTCCCACCAACTTTCTGGTAAGGACTGCAACAATCTCTTTCTGGAAAGTTAAAGGAAAGTCTTTGGTAAGTTCCAAAAAATATCTCATAAACAAGTTAAAGGAAATTACCTGTTGTTTTCTGAATATACCTGCTGATACTTTAGGTAGGGGTCCAGGGAAGTTTTAGAAAGTACCAAGTAATCTCTTCAAAGTACCACTTAAAGTCCAGAAAGATTTTTAAAAAAAGAAAAGTAAATCCTGGTAAGTACCAAGAAAGTATCCATTTAGTTCTGGTAAAATGTTCAGTGAAAATCTCTAAATCAGGAAAAAAATTAAGTAATTTTATGTAATGCTACCAAAAATGGTAAAATCAGTAAAGAGGACAAAAACTTCACTAGCAACCCAGTCGACCGGTGGTTTTCCAGCCACTGAACACACCTGGTGTGACATCACTGACAGGTACAAGTGTAGATGTTAGCCATACTTCAGTCTCAATGTTGTTTCCTTCCTGGTCTATTTCAGCCTTGGTGTGCTCTCTAAATACATTATGACAGTCACAATCATTAAGGCTTTGCTGCCCTCTAGTGGACAAAAAATGTCAGCTTTCAAATTAAGCCAAAGACATTACAACGTGTTAAAAACATTCTGGTTGGATTTACACACAAACTGCAGCCAAATACACAACATAAACAAAGACAACAAAACGGTGCGTGTTAGAAACACTGGCCATCTGATAAGTGCTCTCTGTACATATATGATTTAACTATTTATGTGTTTTCTTTCTGTATTATAAATGTTCGACTCTACAGCTTAGGCCAGACTATTGAAAACAACCTGTTTACATCTGTATGCACTCACGCTTTGTTTTTTTGCTTTGGCGTGTCAATCAATTTGCAGAAGAGGATACATTAACTGAAGAACCTGAGCAAAAGATGTTGGCAACCTAAAGGCAACCTCATCTGCACAACGCCATGCTTGAGGAGTGTGTGTGTGATTACATGTTGAGGGTTGCCATATTTCCATTCAGGTAAGAAAAAAGGCTGATATATTTGCTATTTTACTGCAGTGATTAAGCATGCAAACAGGCATGATGGTGCGTATGTTGTGTAAGACATCATGGGCAAAGAATCCTCTTGGCACATCTGGAGCAACACGTAAGATAATAAAACTGCGTATAAATATTCAGCAAGAAGTGCTAAACACATGTCTCAACACACAGAAATGAACAGATAAGCAGTGGACCGAAACAGTAATTTTTACAAAAAGAAATAAAACTTTACAAAGGCATTTGTGTTTTCACTTGACCTCAGATATGAAGATGACGTGTGAGCAGCAATTTACAGATGGAAGTGAGTTTTCCTGCGTTGAGAGTACATTACATACAGGTTTCAGCTGCACGTGATGAACAGAGCAGTGAAAGCAACACGTTGTCCTAAACAAGTGAACGCAGCAGCGGCGTTGAGTGCTTTTTATAGTGCTCCTTTCTGGTTATGATAGACAGAGAAGTCCAGAGGCTGAAGCAGTGATTAATGTTGTAAAAATAACTGCCTTTAACGTCGTCACATTTTCAGTTTTGTCCAGCTCTGTAGTTGCTCAGAAAGTCTCGTCCTGGTTACTGTTAACTTTCCGTCGGTCTCCTTGAGCTGAGCTTCCTTCCTTGTCCCCACTTCAGCTTTTTTTATTGTTTTTATTTTTTTTTTGTGTCTTTTTTTCCAATATGGCTACAGAAGATCCATGAACCAGATTCAGCGGATGGGAAAGTGTGTCAGGATGTGTCCCCTACATCTAACCAGGCCAGCGGTCTCCGCTCCACTTTCCCAGAAAGTTGCACTGAGAGAACAGTCAGTACCCTTATTTGTTTGTCCTCTTCACACAATTTTTTTTTTTGGATGTGCTTTTTCATGAATGTGTAAAAAGTAAGCAGAGGCAGCAGGAACGGTCAGGATAAGCTTACCTAACTAATTCTTGTTGCTACGTTAGCAGGTTTAGTGTGCTTTGTAGAGTAAATACAAACAAAGCACAGATGGCGGTCTGTGCAGACGGCCTTTCCTGGGTCCATTTTCCAAGAAAACAAACTCAGAAAGTAGGACAAAACTCAGAATCCTCCAGGATTCCCGTCTGTGTCTTTGTGTTGGCGCTGGATCCCAATTGATCACTACTGTTTGATATTTTTTCAGATTATAGCTATAATATGCCACCTTGGTAGTAAGCGTGTGTTTCCATGCATTTCTATGCCTGCAAAAGTCTTGACACATTTCACATTAAGGAAATATTAAGGATTTGTTTCTCCATAAGCAGGAGGAGGTAGCAGCTTGCCCTAAACCTACCCAAAGCATGTTTCTACAGGGCTGGGAATGATACACAGTATAACACCGGGGGGTTATTTTATTATTCTCAGTGATTTCTTCTTCTTCTTCTTCTTCTTTATAAAATCAACAACACCAGCATAACTTGACAGCTTCCCATGCAGTCCAACATGTTGGACTTAGAAAAGGGAGGGATATTTCATGCCTAAACATGTATTTAGATATATAAGCTAACAAGAGAGACACTTCTCTGGATGTTTTCAGTTCATATTATACAGATTTATCTTTGGGAAAATGCTACAGATTATAACAGAACTAATGTAAAGAAAATGGGAATTTACCAAAATTAGGTTTAAGACATAAAAGGCTTTCTATTTTTAGTTCTGCCTCACTATAACATTTCAAGTTGAAACTGCTGCACTCACATTTTTTCCTAACAATGTGGATCAGAACTTTAGCAGAAATTATAATGTCTACCTGAATGCTGTCAGAATAAAACTCTCTTGAATAACAGTTTTGGTCAGAAAAATGCCATTTTTCATAGTCTAGTTACAGTAAGATTGGAGTTCACCACAGAGGGCTTTTAAATGCCTGTGTAGAGTGCCAGTCTGCTAGGTCTCCAATGTACATTGTTCAGTGAAAGCAAGGAAATTTTGAAAAAATCTTGACATCATGATGCCACGGTCCAGTGGAAAACTGTGCCACCACTACTTTCGTCTTGGGTGGTTATTGTGTTATGCATAACATTATACATCTTTGAGGAATTTCAGCTGCGTTCTCGGCTGTGTATTTAAGATAAGGAAATAAAAATAACTACTGAGGGCTACAAGCCTGAGCTGAAGATGTATGTTCTTCAAATAAACCAAACTGGAGGCATCCTAAAATGACGTTCTAGGAGGAAAGGGGTGAATGAGAAAAGGTGATAAAATGGCAGAAGGGCAGAAGATGGCTGGAGCAAAGAGGGACTGAGTTGGAGAGGCAACGGCTGCTCCACTTTTTATGGCGTTCTCTTTAATCGCCCTCCTCCAAAGCAGTAATGGATTGAGTGGTCGGGAAGTTAATGGTGAAGTAAGACAGCATGACGAGACGAGGAGGAAATCAATGTAACTCGTCTTTCATTGGCACAGATTACTGTAAGAGGAGCTGGTCAGGTGCTGTTTGTAGTCATAAAAATGATTTGATCCATGATTTGGAATGGAATAATCTGGTTTATTAGCTCTAAATAATCAGAATCATGCGATTTAATAACTTGCATTGTGTTTTCTACTCTCTCTGATTTTTTCTCTTACCTCCTTTGGCTTTTTGTGGTATAAATTAATAAATATTGTTAGCTCATCTCGCTGTATCATAATCAATGTTTAATCGATGCTTCAGCCCCCTCAGATATCCACTCCCAGTTCCTCTAACGCTGTTTGTTTTGTAAAGAGAATATACTTTCACTATTGTTCAGTGGCTATCTTTAGCACAGTTAGCCCCCCCACTTTACCTCCTGCATAGATATATCTGGAAACACACATTTCTAAGCCTCCCGTCATCCTCACCTCCTCTCAGTAAAGCATGCAATTTCAAGGATTTACTTGCTCTCGGTCTTATCTCTTGCCTTCACCCTGGAACAACTCTGATCTCTTGAACTTGTGGGTTTACTTATGGTTGACGGGATGCACTGCGTGAGCTCGCCCCCTCAATCCGTTTGTCTGTTTATCCTCCCTCTTCCGGACCTCTGGTTCTACCTGCATCAGACCCGAGCACGTTTCTCTCTTTGCTCTGCCTGTTTCTGTCTGAACCCGCTCCTTCCCGCGTGCGCAGCGTTTTCTTTCAGCTCCTGCTCAAACCGTCCTGCTTTTGATGCTTTTTCTGCCTCACATGTCATCGCCAGCATGGCAGCTCTCCTCTCCATGGATGATGAGGACGGGGAAGAAGAAGGCGTCCTGGTAGGATGGAGGTCGATCTCTCTCAGCCTCCCTACTTTCTCCTCCTCCTCCTCCTCCTCCCTGTTCTGCTTCCTCGTCTCTCTCTCTCCCCCCGTTTTCCCGTCTCCTCACCTGTTCCTCTTCCTCCTCCTCATCGCCTTCTCCTTCCAGCACCCCCCTGGTCTCCTCATTGTTCTGTCTGGAGCCTATTCCTAAGAATCCTCCGCTCCCTCCGCCGCCACTGCTTCCTCCGCCTCCGGTCCCTCCTCCGTCCTCCCTGCTGCCTCCCAGTCCTCCTCCGATGCTTCTTGAATGAAACAAGTTGTTCTGTCGCCCACCTCCGAGTCTCCCCAGAGAGAACCCGCTGCGACTGAGCACCAGCCTTCCTCCGATGCCTCCGCTGCCCGGAGCCGCCGCCCGGATCCCGGCGACGGTGGCGTTGAGGAGGGCGGTGGTCCCCATCGGAGCCCTCAGCCTGGAGGGCAGACTGGAACTCGATGTGGTTCTCCTGCACCTGGGGCAGCTCTGCAGGAGGTAGGCAGAGTTGAACACCACAGGCAGAGTCAGGGGTGGTGGGTGGGGGGCTTGGGTGGGCGTGACCCCTGGGGGTCCGGAGATGGGCGTGGAGGCTGTGGGGTTTGTGCTTCCACTGGATTCCAGGTCCATCAGGAGGGCCTCGGAATAGCTGGGCACCATCTGCTGGTTGCAGCGGATGTGCCACTCCAGCTCCGTCATGTCCACCGTGTTGACGCGGGAGATGGCCCTGTAGCTGGTCCCGTTCAGCCCGAATCCCGTCCCGATTCCGTTCTCGGTCCCTCCTTCCACCGCGTCGCCTCGCCCGCCTCCACCCTGTCCTCCCACGACGACTCCGCCGCCGCCGCCGTCCTCCTCCTCGCCGAACAGCTTCTCCACGTGGTAGTGCACGTACGCCGTGCGGTACTCTGACACGACCCGCAGCGGCCATGACAGGAGGAAAGCCGAGGCCAACCAGAACACCCGGTGGCGAGAGAACCACGGCTGACGGGCCGGATCTGGGAAGGCCAGGATGTGCTCCCGGAAATCCACGTTTTTTAGGTGCATTCCCTCCCGGGCCTCCATGTAGTCGTCCAGCCCTTCGTTTTCCCCAAAGAACCGCGCTCGCTTAAATCACAGAGAAATAATAATAAAAAAAAACACATTCAGTTACAAATTTTGTGAGCTTTTCATCCAATAAAAATCCTAAACTTCAATTGTTTTGATCACTTTCATAGTTTGAAAATCTATGAAAGAGGTTTGTCAGAATTTATCAACATTTGGCTTCAACCATCAGGTCTTACTAGCTGAAAACCGGCATCACAACAGCCTGAATCTGCCACCAACGTGTTCACATTATGCAGTGCCTAGTATTTTGCACATAGACAAAAGCTAAAACTTTGGTCTCACCCAACCAGTGCCCCAACTTTCATGTTTTCTGCACTTTTGGGAGGCAGTTGACTTTGTCTGAGCTTTCGGTTTGCAGTTGTGCCATAACAAGGCAGCTCACAAACACACAATAGACTTTTCTTAATAAAATATCTTGAAAACCATGTAACTTTTCCTTCCTGTTTACAATTATGTGCTATTTGTTGTTGGTCTCGCTCATAAACACCAAATAAAACACCTACTTTTCTTCTGCAAGGCACTTTGTAAGCAGCTATGAAGAAGAGTTTAGCACACTTTCTTCTTCTTACCTGAGTGAGGTAAGCAGCTTCAGCTCGGGCACTGGAGAAGCTAAAGCACAGAAATGTAACAAATTAAAAGAAAAATCAAGTAATGATCAGCTTCGCTATCAAACTAAATTCTAACTCAACCAACTACAGAGCAGATTTGTACTTTATAAGTCTGGTGGTACCTGAAACACTTGGTGAAGCGGAGGCGAACAGCAGGGTGGCGCTCCAGGTCCAGCAGCTCTTTTGACACATCTTTGACGCCGTAGCGGGCGTAGTCAAACTCTGAACTGGAGGCATGAGTGTTCACTCGCTCATGGTAGACCTGAGGAAAGGTGAAAGGTTAAAAAGGAGAGAAACAAAATTATTTCTCCGTTTGCTTAAGAACTCGAAATGTAAAAAAATTAGCAGATCTTGTTTGGTTTAGCCATTCTTTTTTCAGTAAAACAAATGTTTCTGTTAATGTTCCCGCCTTAGACAACAATAAAGACAATTTACATCTTCAAGTACACAACATGAACGAGTGCTGGTTTTTTGACTATTGCTGAGCTTCTATCAATGTTTTTTATGCACATTTTGAAGTAAAGCATTAGAAAAGTTGATGGAAACAGAAAAATTTGAAATAACTTTCCAAGTTACACAGAAAAGAATGTTTGTACACTCGTTTAAGGTGGCTTTTGACTTTTCCGAAAGAGTTAATGAACTAAAGAAATGGGAATAGAAACATATTTTCCGAATAAGTCCTGACATAGCAAACATTTACCTTACTTGACTGATCAGCTTGTTTGCTCTGTTAGAATTACAATAGTATTTTTCTTTACCTCTCTGGACATCATGTAACTTTACTGATGCTAGTTGACTTCACTTACAATTACAACTTTCTAGATTTTTTTTCTCTTTTTTGCGACATTGTAAAAATTTTCTCAAAATTTACAGCACAATTACATGGAAACATGGTATTACCTATGGAAATGTACACACACTTCCCTGGACAAACACCAAACTTTTAGTAGGGCAAACAAAAAGATTAGTGGTTTATGTGTACTTTAGCTGAAAAACACATAATTTGAATTTTCTTTTCTGCATCATTTTAAAAGTTTGCTCAAAATTCACAATAATATTAGATGAAAAGATGGATGGGGACTGTGCAGGATTGGCTAATGGAACGACATGTTAACATCCTTCCCTTTTACAAATCCTGTGTTTCCTGAATCTGTTCTGCACAACACTTAAAGCTGCTCTGGGCACCTGCTGGCCTGTGCAGAAGGTGGTTGCTATGGAGACTATGGCATTACACTGACGGAGACGCTGCTAACCAAGGATTTACATAGCTAGCTAAGGTAACTGCCTGCTGGTTGGGCATGAAGAGATGAGCAGATGGTGCTCTCCCTGTCTGATCTCCCGACAGCTGAAGGAAGATGCTAATTCATCGAATCATATTGACATGAGAAATGTCTATACTTATACTTGCTGTTATAAATTTGACAGAAAAGTAATGAATAAAGAAAGAGCCCCCTCACCTGTGTGGTGGTGTATGCATCTCCATTGCGGTATCTGGTCACCTGTCTGGTCCTCCTCACGTAGTGGTAGCTGATGGCCTTCCACCAAATACATGGAGTGGCCTGCTGGAGTCTCTGCACCCGCTCATACACTTCCTACCAGACCGAACCAGTTCATGCAAAATGGTAGAAAAAGTGAGAGAACTTCCTTAAAAGACAGACCAGCAGGAACAAGATAACTATTGTTTGGGCACAATAGTCACAGCGGACAAGACAAAGTTTAATTATACCACAATGACTGTTGTTGTTTTATTTTGCTACAAGCAACTAAATCATTTTCCAGGAGGGAGTTTTTTCATTACAGAACAAAACAGCCAGGCTGAGTCAGGTCAAGTCATTTTCTACTTGATGAGGCAATAATTCTTCCAGAAATGATGGAGGAAATGTGTACATATTCTCTCCCGGAGAAACAGAATGACGCATTGATAATTTATGTGTACTTTAGCCGAACTCCTTATTTTAGTCGCAGTATTCTGGTGGGAATGTGTGGTCTTTATTACCACAAAGTGTGAACACAGAAGACAAAAACAGATTACATAATGCAGCATAAAAGTACAGCAGTTAAAAGCCAGTCTGAATAAATGAGTCAAACTTTTTCTTAAAGAATCAGTAGAAATAACATGAAAGCATCCTGCAATGTGGGGGGCGGGCGCTCTGAAAGATCTGTCTCCTCTGGGAGAGGAACCAAAACCAATGCAGCTGCATGTCGGATACCTGGAATTCAGCGTGAGCCAACATGGCCGTCTTAGAGAAGCAGTGCCAGCACTCCACCAGGTAAACCACGTACAGCATCGCCAGGAAGGCCAGCGGGATGTAGACGTAGCCGCTGGAGCACGGGCTCTCCAGGTGGAGGATGTCATTGTAGTAGGCGGCGGACGTGGCGTCGTCGGCGCCACCAAGAGGCATGGAGGAGGAAGAGCCGAGGACGGGCACCCGGCAGAGAGCGCACCAGGCCAGCGTGGCAAAACAGCCGTACATGAGCAGCGTCAGGAGGAGGCACTTCCAGTGGGACTCTCTGCACAGGGAGGAGGCCAGGGACTGCTGGGTGGGCTTTTGCTGTGGGAGCAAACAAATATTAGCTACATGTTTCCTTATGCAACACGACGTCCACCCTGATACTCAAAACTGCAATATAGGATAGGCAATTATCTTATCATTTATCGTGATAAATTTCTTATGGTAAGAGCTTTGACTTATCGTTATCACAATAAATTCCAATTAATGATTGTTTAAAATCCCAAAAACTGTTTGCATTGTCAGGATTGATAGTTTTATTATTTTCTACACTGTTTGTTCAATGAAATGCTTAGCTTAGTGACACAAATCACACTTCTTTATGCGACAGGTATCGTAAAGAATATGGGAATGTTTTTCAAGTGTGTGTTGGTGGGGCTATAATTGCTGGTACAACAGTTACCTAAAAATGATCAAACAAATAGTTCTTATTGTCACTTTTATCATAATCACAAAAGTACCGGTAAATATTGTGATAAAATAAGTCCATATCGCCCACCCCTAGTGCAATAAGTAAAGCACCATGCATAGGTGTTAATATTTTATCATGAGAAGATTTATTTTTTGTCAAGGAAGGAATAAAGATGTGCTTCAGGCTGACGTCTGGTAAAGTATTAATAACCTTCCTGTTTGGTAAACAGTGTCAGATTTCCAACCAAATGTGCAGCCGGAGGCCTGGACCAAAGGAACGCATTAGAACTGCTCCATACCCATCTGAGGGTAAGTGCTGCACATTAGACACACACATGCACACACACTGTTTACAGTGCATTCAAACACACAACCATAGCTAGTGTGATATGCTTCCTTCTCCGTCCACATCCACGTTCTCAGCATTGTAATGCAGCCAGAGGAGAATATGTGAATAATTTAGATGAGCACGATGCTTCTAGACGGTTCCCCAGCCAACTGACTCGGCTCCAACATCAGCAGCGCGTCGGTGCTGATGCAATCTGTGCATCAGTAACAGAGAGGCAAAAAAACAAATAAATAAAGCTCGTGTCACACAGTTTAAGAGGGAAGACGTTGGATTTCATCCCTGATAAAGACGAAGGAGTGTTTGTTTCCTGTTTCACTTCGTGGGAAGACAAAAAAAAAAAGGAGATGACGAGTCGGGAAGGAAAAGCAGATGGGATGACACCAGTGTCCTTCTCTCCTCTCAGTCAAGTCTGTCAGCATCTATCCCTCTATTTACCTCACACACGAGCCTTCATTCCCTCAATCACTACCACTCGCTCCTTCTCTCATACACACTCATCTCTTTTCAGCACAGTTGAACCACAAGGTGATATTTGCTGGCGAGCTGGACACAAAGGCTTTAGATTTTTCTCCTGTATCTGCTGATTGTCAAGGGCAACGCTGTGAGGCAGAATCAATGGGACCGCTCAACCAGCTGTTCACCGTGACAAAAATAACCCCCAAGAAGCAGCTAATAAAAGCAGTCACTTTAAAAAAAAGACTGGTAGAGCATCTTCCTTTGGTTCTCTTGTAATCGTTCTCCTTTTCTTAACTTTTCTTCCCCAGTTCCTTTTTACATTTTAGCATGTTACATCCTAAAACTTTGATTTCTTGGGGATTTTATGTAATAGACCAATGCAAAGTAGTGCATAATTATGAAATACACATTATACATATCTGAAAGTCTGAAAAGTGTGTGGCGTATATGCATTCAGTTAACACTTTGCAGAACCACACAACTTACAGCTGCAGGTTTTTAAGGGTGTCTGGTTTTAACATCTAGAAACTGAAAGTCTAGAAGTCAACTATAAAGCACTTGCTGCAAGTATATCACATAAAAGTACAGCAACAGATTGACAGCATGAGATGAAACACTTATTTATTGCTATACTTCTATCTTGACTGTAATCGGATGCTCTGAGTGAATATTCCTAGTTAGCTGGATTTGATCATTCTGTCCAAGGTTTCCCCCAGAAAACTGGCTAAGCCTGATGGTTGGGGCGCTTGGCAGTCATTCATCAAGCGGCCCGTCGTGTTTCTGAGTTAAAAATGTTGAAAGTTGACAGAAAATTTGAAAATATCACTTGATAATTATGTGTTATTGAAAGATTGGAAGATTAATACCTGAATACCAACTATGAAGTCTTAAAAAATGGAAACATTTTTAAAAGACTTACATAAATAAGCAATGCTTAGCCTGGTGGGGGCACAAGTAAAGTCTGGTGCCCGCCAGACTTATAATACATTGAGGTAAACCCTGGTGTCAGACTTAAAACTGAAGTGGAGGTTTGATGTGCCGTTACTGCATTTCAAGCAAAATTTAGTGGATTGTTTGCTTAAATGTTATTCTTTTGTGAATTTGTGATAAAATAAGTTTCTACAGGACCTGATGTTTTCTTTTCTGATTACTCACCAATGACAGAATACTCAATCACTAAACAATAGTCTTTTCAATGAGATGTTCAAAGCTTGGGATGTTATTTTATACCCCAACTCTCATTTAAACTACTCAACAACGTCCTCCCTGGCCTGTCTGATGCATTTTTTGATCTTTATGATGGTGTTTGTTTCTTTAAGTTCTCTAAAAACCTCAGAAGAATTCACAGAACAGCTACATCTTACTAAATTAAATTACACACACACGGACTAATTGCTAAATCGGTGAAGGCAATTGGTTGATTTGGATTTTATTGAGACGTCTACGTCTTACATAAAAAAGTAAATAAAAGTTGTGAATACTTTTGCAAGGCACTGTATAACCTCTGACTCTTACTTCTACCTTTGTCCCCACCCATAGATCTCCTCTCTTATTTCCTCTTTAAAGCTCTGTCTCCAAGTGGATTGATTGAGCTGACAGAGCAGAGAGTGAGGCGCTGAGCAGCATCTGAGACAGAAATTATCCTAAACTTTAAAAGTGCAGGACAGGAAATGTAACAAATAGCAGGTGTAGGAGATTACACATCACCTCAAGAAACCCATCTGGTGACATCTTTCCCCGTCTTCCTTCTCTCCACGTTTTTAACTAAATATCTTTCACACTTGCAAGTATCCAGCTAGCCAACAATTTCATCACGAGTCTGCAACAATGCGGCCAGTGAGGCAAAAATCTGCCTCAAGACAGGAGTCAAATTATTCGTGTTGGCACTTACGGTGCCAGGTCCCTCGGGGAGGGAAAACAGGATGCAGTGTGGGGTCACTTAGCAACAGAGCTGCATCTCAAAGCAGCAGCAGTGCCAATAATATAAACAAATACGAAAATAGAAGCAAGAGTTGAATTTGCACCGACAAAGACAACTCTAGTTTATAGTCAAACAATGATTGCAAAACCAAATCTATTACAATTTAAAAAAAAAATAATAGATTTTGTTCTAAAATCTATCAAGAAGCTTCCACAAGTACAATTCTTAACTTGAAGGACAAAGTGTTGTACTAAAGTGGCAAAACTTTATTCTGTTTGGCAGCAGAAAATGTCTTAAAAAAGCAAGGTCAAAAATATGTCTTCTCATTCTAAAGCCCAGTCAGCACAGCTCTCCTCAGTTATAAACCAGTAGTAATTGCAACGTAGTACCAGTCTCTTTTTCAGAACGTACTTTGCTGGAGTTTCAAGTGTGCTGAGTCAGACTTTACTTTTTTAAATTCATTAAGACAAAAGTGACAGATTTTGTTAACTCCACTGTGACACCTTAAGTGTTTAACATTCCCTGGACAATAAACTGGTTGTCACAAATCCATGCATTAGTTATCACTTGGTTAGATTACCGTAATGCACCTAATGTAGAGGACAGTGCTTCGTCCAGCTTGTCTCCAGAGCCAGTAAAATGATGCAGCTCAGTTTTGGTCCCACAACGGGTTCTTCAGCTGTGGAAGTAAAAGAAAGTGGTGCAACACCTGCCCTAGCAACAGTTTAGCTTTGGAGTTAAGGTAAAGATCTGCTTCAATTATCACCAAACTTTGACAGATCATATCAAAGGATTACACGTTTGATGTATTAAGTGAAAGTGTTGTAGCTGCTAGCTAACTAGCCTGATTGGTCAGAAACCAGAAGGTTTCCAAGTCTTCACTATGATTTTATTTTTCTTTCGGGAGAATCTGTTTGGGAATCTTACTTTCTGTCACAAGATGGTTTCAATTATTCTGTAAGAGTTGCCTCAGTCAAGCTTCAAGCGATCAATGATGAATCACTCTTCCTGAGGATAATGTAAAATCTACAAAGCCAAATTTCAGGGGGGGTCAGTTCTTGTTTTGCTTTTTTCCCAAACTGCCCCACAAGCAATAAGAAGAAGCTGTAGCAATAATACCATGTACCCCTAAATTTAGATGGAACAAATTACAGTATCAAATTTATTCCAGAGCATCCAAAGCCTGAACCACCAGCTAGCTTATTAAACAGAGTACAGCAGTCAGGGTTGGATACTTAAGCCCAGGTTCTTATTTTAGGTTCAGAAAGCTTTTAACAAGTCTGTGCAAACAGATCTCCTCATCCTGCAAACAGACTAATTTTTTTGCCATAAACTGCATTTGCTATGCATTGACATGCTTCCTGAGTTGCTTTGAACATATTTCCTCATTCTAACAGCGTCGGAAACATTCAATTAGCTTTCTACTTCACAAATTACAAGCTACAACTACTGATGAATTGGGTTTTGATAGCAGGTGTACTTCAGATCCGCTCTTTGCACATAGTTCTCCATCTGTCCACTGTTTTCACACACCTTTTCCAACATAAAGTGCTTAATAGAATCACTCTCTCCCACATTGATTCTGTGCTCGAACTGATTCAGCTCGTTAGGTGTGACTGGAGCGGCTATAATTAGCTGCCCCAGTGCGTGGGTGGCGAACGAGGTAGGGAAGTGAGGAAAATGTGCTTTTGATGCCTGCAGAGCACAATTTAAATGCATTTCCTTTTATCGGGACTGGATTGAGCCCTTCTCGAGTGTCAGGGTACCAGCTGCAATAACAGATAGATTGTTAGCACTTACTGAGGTAGCCATGTGTCACCACAGTCTAGCGGTGACACAAACATTATCCCTCTGCCTGAAAATAATCGTCCAGTGTAATTCTCCCACTATAAATGTAATTCGACAAAAGTATTAGCAGGTAAGTCAAAAGAACAACTGCTTTCATAGATGTCACAGAAATAAAACTGAAAAAAACTACATACATACATATATATATATATATATATATATATATATATATATATATAATTGCTTCTTTGTGTGCTTTGGAGTTTCTGGGCTGATAAATTTTTTTTGCGAACCGATAAAAGCTGGTAGCTCTTGAATTGCTACAAAATAAAGCTGTATTTCCCTCAGCATACTGGTTGTAATGTTGACACATTGAGATGCCATGAGACCTAAATTCTGAACATCATGGCATGGAGTGCATCCCAGTTTTCCATGTCTGGCATATAAGCATTCATTTTAACTTTTAAACTGGTTCTATTGATCCTGTGTCCAGACAGAGGGATAATCAGTAGCCTAGCATCATAACCTGTTTGTTCTGAAGATCCTGCAGCTTCCACTTCGTCTTCCTAACATGATGCCTCCTTACCCTGACTCTCATACTGATAGGAGGAACCACAGAGCTCTGTTAGGTTAAAGCTCATCTTCTGAAGTTGGGATGTTTTTCCTCCAAAAGGTTCCAGAGGAATCATCTCAAACCAGATGTTGGGCTGGATT